TAACAACCCAGTTATCATCAACATAAAAAATGCACAAACCTCTGTGTCCCCAAGCACCAGAGGTCTTCAAACCTGGCAACTTTAAGACTTGTGGACTTCAACTCCCAGCTATGCTGGCTGGAGAATTCTGAGAGTTGAAGTCCACAAGTCTTAAAGTTGCCAAGTTTGGGGACCCCTGCCCCAGTCAAACACATCTACTGTCCTCACTAACATACTTTAGAAATATATCTATAAATACATAAATCAAGGTGTGTGTTGTGTCTGTGTGATGCCTGGCGAGATCTGGAAATCCATGTTGCAATATGAGTTCTGCCCCATATCACCCATTTACCTGGGTGCTGATAGCCCCTCTCCCTTTTCTCCACAATCTTTCTCCAATCCTTTTTCATATTCATTATTGTATTATGAAGATGCATGGTGGCCCAGTAGTTAGAATGCAGCGTTGCAGGTTGACCCACTGCCAGGAGTTCAATCCTGACTAGCTCATGGTTGACTCAGCCTTCCGAGGTTGGTAAAATGAGGACCCAGATTGTTGGGGAGAATTTGCTGACTCCAAACTGCTCAGAGAGTTTTGTAAAGCACTATGGAGAGAGATATATAAGTCTAAGTGCTATTGCCATTCATTCATTCATTCATTCATTCATTCATTCATTCATTCATTCATTCATTCATTCATTCATTCCATCTCACTGTCAAGTGATTGGACAGCTTACAACAATATAAAAAAATATAAAAGTTACAGCACTAAACAATGAAAAACTTCAGCGTTAAGAAGACACCAGAGAAGGGGTGGGGGAGTGGCAGTCATCATCATCCCTGCTCCGGAGATTGTCGGGTGTGAGTCCCTTCTGGTGAAGTTGTACCTTGGGGGGTCAAATGGGTTTGTTGCTAATGTACCTACCTCCCAACAGCGTTACAACAGCCCTGCCTGTGCTCCTATAGTCAGTAGCTAAGCTGGCGATTGAGTTCCCCAGGCTTATAGTGCTGGGGGATTTCAATCTGCCGTCGCTTGGTGAACGCTCTGATGGAGCACAGGTGTTCATGGCTTCCATGACAGCCATGGACTTGACCCAGGTAATTCAGGGTCTGACTCATACAGCGGGGCACACGCTCGACCTCGTGTTTCTCTTGGAGCAGTGGAGACGTGATCTAGATTTGAAGGGCATTAAGATCTTGCCCTTGTCATGGTCAGATCACTTCCTACTGAGGCTCGACTTTCGGAAACCAATCCCCCACTGTAGGGAGGGGGAACCGATTAGGTGGTTCTGCCCCAGGTGCCTGATGGACCCTATGGGATTTCAGACGGCACTTGGTGAGATACCTGACTCTCTGGCCCACAGTCTGGCGGAGTCCTTGGTCGCTGCTTGGAATATAGCGGCGGCGGAGGCTCTAAACTGGATTGCGCCTTTACGGCCTCTCCGCAGCAGTGGATCCAGGAGGGCTCCTTGGTTCACCGAGGAACTCCAGGAGATGAAGCACCAAAAGAGATGCCTAGAGCGACGCTGGAGGGCTAGTAACTCTGAATCCGACTGAACACAATTAAGAGCCTTTATTAGGACTTAACTAGGGGCGATACAGACGGTAAAATGTGTGCATTTTT